CCCTTGACTTTTATCAAACAATTCATCAAATGGCTATTCTTTCTTCCTTTCTTTTCTTCTAGAAGGAGTTTATATGCTCAAGGCAGTTGTTTATAATAAGCGGTATGAAACTGAAGTGAAGCTTGGACCTTATTATGTGGAAGTCAGCCATGCGGCCATGTCTGTCTACATGAATTCCAGCAGTGTCCACGTGGATGAAGTTCTTGCTTTTGCTGTTTCCCCCTCAGATAAGAAAAGTAAGCCCTACCTCTGGAGTCTGGGTGTGAAGACCTCAGCTATCTCTGAGGCATGACTCCACTGGTATTACACATTCCCAGTTAGAACAACCCCCAAAGCAGATATATAACAATCTTCATTTATTATTTTTTTCTCATTCAGAAAATATCTGTTGCATTGTAGTGTGCTCTGATGGGGGTGAAGATAAAATCACACAATGTTTTAGTGTGGAGAATTTATAACCTAATAAAGTGATGAATATTTGCATGTAAAAACGATGAGCTAACTTCAGAAGGGCGTGGCTGGGAGACTGCAGGGTAAGGGTATGTGGGTAGGTGCAGGAGTAAGAAATATTTGAGGGAGAGGTGGCATCTGTGAGGGCCCTGGGTCTGTAAAGAAAGGAGTGTGGACAGAAAGTGAGGCAATAAGTCAGTCACAGAGGTGAGAGGCAGAGGCAGTTCATAGCCTGACTCTATTGCCACAAGTACCTATAAGGTGGGCTCCCTTCATCTCAGCTTTGAAAGGATGAACATGAAGCTCAAACTCAGTGGGGTGGAAACAGGAAATTCCAGCAGAATATCAGAACATGTGGAAGGAAGAGTGCATGCAGGCCATGGCAATGGGAGTGCAGTGCCAAAGAGGATCCCAGTGTGTCCAGGCTGAGGGGATGGGTCCCAGATACACAGAAAGGGGAGGGGGGAGGGCAATGAGCCTATCCATATGAAAGTCTTCTCGACTGTCCCATACACTGTCCCATGAAATTAGCCTTGAGAAAATCTTTATCCACGATCTTACAGAACATCCGTGGGATAGTTTTTCAACCTGTCAGCACACCAACTAGTGCTTTGGTCTCTTATCCAAAGCAGTGTTTGGAAACTGAGTAAATAAACAGCCTGCCCAAGCAATGTGCCAGTGCGTGCCTTACAAGCTTCCACCCTGTAGGTTCCTGGCCAGGAGGTAGGACCAGAGGCCAGAGACTGATCCTTAACTGGGCAACCTATGCAAACTCCAAATGGTGCTTTCCTCACCGTTTGACAAGTGGATTGAGGGTAAAATTAAGTTTTAAACATTGTTTGTGAAATGATATTAATCTTATTCATGGGATGTTTAATTTTCAGCAGTTCTCAAATACTGATGAAGAACAAAATAGCCATTCTATCTTATCACTGTTATACATGAGCATTTTTCTCTTTATAAAGAAAAATACTATTTAGAACAACAAATCATCTTACAACCTCCTTCCTTTGTTAATTTCCCTTTCTGGTAAGTGGGCTCTTCTAACTCTGCCTAGATGCCTCAGTTCTCTCCTAGAATTGAATGGATGCTTGGGATCTGTCTTCCAGCTACATGCATGCAGACTGTGTGTGTGTGTTTGAATATACATATATGTGCAACATTTTGCATTGTGTTCTCAGGATTTCAAAATTCGAGGCTTCCTGATGTGCTCTGGTTAGAGACACTGCACACAGAAGGCTGCCTAGCGTGCCCACTTTAGAGATCCTTTAAAAGCAAGGCATCTGGCAAAGTAATTAACATACTTAAAAAGCAAACATACTCACTATGTAAATTCTTGGGAGAGAGACAAAATATTTATTTTACTTTATTTTTTTATAGAGAAAATATTTAAAATAAATTTTAATAGAGAAACTGTGACAAAGTACGTTTCCCAGTTCAGTATGATTTCAAAACAATAACTTTTGAAATTTATTGGCATTCAAGAACAGAAAATAAAAGTTGGAAGAATATTGACCATGTGCTATATGAGATGAACGAATTCATTTAAGAAGATTTTCCCCTTAGCTTTGACCTTTTTCATTTCAGGTACTGTTGTGATGCATCATTTCCCATCCATTTCCTCCTATAATGTGTCCTTTACATCTCAAAGCCTAGTGGGTGACCGTCAGACTTGGTCCAGCGTGACTGTTTGGTATCAGATGCAACGTAAGTGATTATTCTAAATCTAGATTTAATGACATCTTCCTCAGGCAGCCAGTTGAGACAACAAAGACTGTAAATCCACCACATTCGAAAACTATTTGCCCCTGAACTCTATACTCTATACTCTCCTGTGATTCATCCTAGGACATTTGTAGAAATTATACACATAAAGATTTCAATTTAAGTGTATAAAACAGCGGGTTCACCTACCAGTACCTTCATACCTTATCTTTTCAGTTAAATTCCAAAAGAGATGGCCTTAGCACTTTGTGAGCTGTGTTTTGATGGCCTAACACAGCTTGGCCACTCACCTAACAGGGTGTTGCCACTGCAGCCCTGTGCACAGTCCCATCAGATGACTCCTCATGCTCACACACAACACCACTGAGTGGGAAGTTGAGGGCCTAACTCCCAGGCATTCTATGCCGAAGTATTTGCCTCCCTTTCCTTTGTTACAGCTGTCTTTGTCTCCACACGTGGAACTGTGTTTGCTGCAGACACTGACATCACTTTCACAGCTGTCACCAAGGAAACAACTCGCTTGGAGTTCTTGTGGTACTTTGGAGATGGTCCACCAGTGAAGACAACTACCAGCTATGTCAAGAAAAGATTCAGCATCCCCAAGTGGTCTGTAAAGTTGATTGCTATGAAGGGTAGCTGCTGGTAGGCAGCCTTAGCTCAGGGTGAGGGTTCCCGGATGGCACATCCACACTCAGTGCCACCGACCACACTGTGCATGGAGTGAGTAGATTTAGTTCAGCCTGAACTAGAAGAAAGGGCGGGGTTTTGAAATCACACAATCTTTGGTTCAGATCTCGTCTCTGCCACCAGTATGACCTAAACAAGTACCTAAGGTAGTGTGATAGTGTTCTCTCACAGCTCTGAGGGTTTAATTAAATTATGAAGAAGGGTGGCTCAGAAAGTTTCCTCATTTTCCCCAGAAGGATGGAAATCGTTGGGTTCCATGATAATTACTGAAAGTGAAATTCCAATGAGCTCCCCCTCCCACCATGACCCCTGCCTTTCTCATGAGGTCATGTGAACAATGTCTCCACTTTATTCCATCCTATCTGTCTGCCTTCACCCACCCTCCCTAGGTATCTTGTGATGGTCAGGGCCTCCAACAGAGTAAGCAGTGTGGTTTCGGAGCCCTGTCACATCAGAGTACAGAAGAGAATCGTCGCCAACCGACTGGTATCCACCTCGTCAGCGCTGGTGAATGCCAGTGTGACCTTTGAGTGTAGAATCAACTTTGGCACTGACGTGGCTTATCTGTGGAACTTTGGCGATGGTGCTGTCAGCCGGGGGAGCAGCTCCGCCAGTCACAGCTACAGCAGGTACATCACTCTGGTCACAGGTGAAACTGCAACTCGTGGCTTGATGGGCCTTTCCAGTGTCGGCTGTAGGTTTCCACCAGGTGCAGGGTACAGGTATTCAAGAGAGACAATGAAAGCCAGCTGTTGTTCTCCAGGAACCCATAATCTGGGGGGTGGCAGTGGAGGATTAGATAGGTGTGTGCTACAAAAGAGGAGATGCACAGAATAGTTCAGCTTTCTTTGGAAAGCTGGACAACCAGCTCATAGTGGCAGTCACATGGTAAGCTGGACATGGGCTCTTGATCAAATGTTTGCCAAGGGAAAAATAGGAGCTCTTAGGCATAGGCCCAAGGAGGTAGTCTCACCTCATGAGACTTGGAATACCTGTCATGATGTTAAGAAGGTGGAATGAGAACGGATGGTGGCAGATAAAGGTGGCAGGAAAAGTTGTAAGGGGTTGGTCATTCTGAAGAACTTAGCATTTGTCCTGCACTTTCTGTTTACCCAGATAAAGCATTGTGGAGGACCAGGAAAGCATGCTGCCTGTCCTCATCCAAAATAGTCATAACATTTCTCTGGAGATGGGCAAGTCTGCAGGAACCACAGCTATCCACTAAGTTACCACCTCTCAAGCTTCAGAGGTGCTGAAATGCAAACCAGTCAATACCACCTGGTCCCAGTCTAAGCCTCCCAGTCATTGCTGCTTAACTGCCTTCCTGGCAGCGGCTGAGCCTCAGGCCAGACGAGGGCCATTTGTACTGGTGTGATGAAAAACTAAATGTGAGAAAGTAGCCAGAAATTGAAGGCCATGTGGACTAGAACATCAGAATGACTGCAAATTGCGTTCAGTGCAGGATTTCTTACCGAGAACCCATACCTATGATCCCTGGCCAGAGGACCATCTGAATTGCTCATCATGAGCTCTTGATTAATAGCTTCTCCACTAGAATAGGCTGTGTCTTTCAGAAAGAATTGAGCAGCAGTACCCAGACAGGCTGGAGTGTTCTCGGGTGGACACGTAAGTGCTGGGAACCTGGGGATGTGCCATGAGGCTCAGGGAGCCCATTCTTACTGTGTGGACATGGGCACAGACTGTCCTGTACCTCCTTCATGCTCTCTGGATATAAACAGCTCTTCAACCTGAGAATCTGAGAAGGACTCCACAGCTCGCACTCTGGCCAGCAGGACCAGAGATGGCAAGTGACAGTCTGATCCTTATGCTCAGATTTGCTCTTCTGCCAGGGATTGTTCTGTTTTATATTCAGGAGTATCTGTTCTGTATCATTTGCAAAATAGGTAAATAGTAAAATAACACCTGCCTGGCACACCTCTCTCACCTTATAGCACTCCATAGTGGAATCCACTGCCCCTTCCAAGACTGTGATATTGTCCTGAGCCTCCCTGGTTTGTGAAACCCTAAGAAGTTCATCATCAAAAAAAGATCTATAGGTCAGAAAACAGAACAGGGAGTTCTTGCTGATCACATATGTGCCCCACAGGTGGGGTGCCTTAGATTCTGCTTTGGTGGGTGTGAGTGAAGCTATCATTGCCCCCTGGTTTCCCACGGACATGGAAGATGTCTCTTCTATGGCAGCAACATCAGTCTGGGGTTTCGCCACTGATCCTGACTCACTGTATGGTCAGTGGTCTGTTAGGGGGACAAGTGGCCTCTGTAGAAATCAACCTCAGGACTGAGTCTCTTATCACCTATGGGCTGTCCTCCTGACCAATACTTAGAAGTACACAGTTGTTAGAAGGTTCTGAGAAGGTGGAAGTGGTGAACATAAAGCTGTGACAGTCTCTTTCTTAGCTTCTGTGCATTCTTCCCCTTCAGGGAAGGAGAGTTCACCGTGGAGGTCATTGCTTTCAACAATGTCAGCACTGCATCCCTCAGAACGCACCTTTTTATCGTGCAAGAGTCCTGCCAGCCACCTCCTGTCAAAAATATGGGACCCAAAATAGTCCAGGTAGGAATGGGCTTTTCCATCAGGCTTTTGTGAGCGCTTTCTCTCAGGTGGAACCAGAGCAGAAGGAGGAAACTTTGGAGAGTGAGGCTGCATTTAAAGCAAAGGCACTTGGGAGGGCCTCAGGGTGCACAAAGTGAGCAGAGAAAGCCACCTAGTCTAGCCTGGTTCCTGGGGTTTGCATCTTGCCTTTATCCTCTTCTACTACTCTACTATTAGCACAACTCACAATGTGCATTTTTCAATTAAAAAAATGAATTGCTTGTGAAAAGAACTGTATTGCTTTCAGGTGTATTTTAATACATATGCTAAAACCCAAAGACATATTCACTTATTTGTTGAGTACCTACCACGGCTTGAGAAAAATCGAGTTGCTGTTCATTTCTTTTATTCCTTTGAGGCCTCTGATGCAGAGGAAATACTCCAAGTTGGAAATAAACACCTATGACTTGGCTGATTTTCCCAAAATGCTTTCTGGGACTGCTGAGCCCCTGGGAGTCCTGGGCTCGGACACTCTGACCCATATGTGGCCATGGGAATTGGGTAGAAGGCCTGGTGGCCGCTGGGAACCCATGTGCAGGGCTGAGGGTGAGACCCACACATACCCATGGGCTGCTCTGTGCCCAGGATGGTGGGTTGTCTCGTCAGGGAGATGGACAAAAACAAACCGAGGAATCCAAAGCAACCCCCTTAACTGGCAGTAGTGAGAACGAGGGCGAGGAGTCAGACTTGAATCCTGATGCTGCTCTTAGGTTGAGCCACAGGACATTGTTCCCCTGGGCTAAACCATTGAGCACCAACACTGGCACATGGTTCAAAGTAGTCACTGTCACTTGTGGTCATTTTTTCCAAAATAAACAGCTGTTTCCATTTTTATTCTAATTTTTTTTATTAGAAGTTTCCTAGGGATAGGATCTCCCTGGTGACCTAGGAGTTAAGTCTCAGTGCTATCACCACTGTACCCTGAGTATAATGCCTGGCGAGGGAGCTAACCTAGGTGACACAGCAGACCTCACCTGCCTCTCCTGCTGCTCACCTTAGCAATCTATTTCAGTAGATTTGCCTGCTCTGCTCCCCACACTGTCTCTGGTGAATCCTCTCACTCCTTGCACCTCTGACCTATACCCCAGTTCTTCTATGAAAAAAAAAAAAGTTTCCTAGGGGGAAAAGAGTATCTTAAGTGTAAGCCATTTCTCAGAATCTTAGTACTAAGTTTCTTTTAAAATTGGAAAAGACGAAAGGACTGTAACAACAGGATACAACCTGAAAAATCAAGAGATAAAGGCAATTTTGAAATGATAAAAGCTTCTTTTTTAAAATGGTAATTCCTGTGCCCTCCCTGGTGACACAACGGTTAGGACGCAGCACTGCAGGTTAGCTGCAGCTACTTCAGTGTGAGTTCGATCCCCAGCCCTGGAGGGGACCCACATGGTGTGGCAAACCTCTCCTGTCTTGCCTGCTGCTCCCCTCAGCAGTGTAATTTGTCAGTATGCCTGTTCTGCTCCCTGTTCTGTCTCTGGTGAAGCCTCTTACCATCCCTGAAACTCTGGCTTGTACCCCAATTCTCTATGAATGAATAAATAAATTTTAAAAATAAAAAAGCATCACATCACTGCCACCACTTAAAAAAAATAGTAATTCCTTAAGAATATTTGTTCTTCCTCACAACTATCCCTTGTGTCCACTCATCCCATTCCTACTCCTCTCTCTCTTAACCTCAGAGCCTTCAGGACATTTATTGATGCTCACTGGCTTTTGTTTAACATTACCTTATTGTCTGCTATGTATTGTTCAGTATATTATTTTATTCTTCTGTCTCACTTTTCTGCATATAGTTCTCTCAGATTCCCTTCATTTTGTTGAAACTAGCTACATTTCATCCTTTGTAAGGCTATGTAATACTCCATGGTGTGATTATACCAATTATATGTTGGACTTGTAGTTGCTTCCATATCCTAGCTATTGTAAGTGATAATATTGCTAAAAACATTGTATAACATGTTTTGTTTTGTTTTTTCATTGTTGATGGTTTCATATTCTGTAGTGATATGCCCAACAGTGGGTTTGCTAGGTCATATAGTATTTCTATTTTTAATTTTGAATGGTAAATTCAGATTGTTTCTCAGAATTGTGCACAGAATAGTGCACATAGTCATCAACAATATAAAAGTGTTCATTTTTCTCTGCATCCTCAACAGCACTTGTTTTGTTTTGTTTTGTTTTCAAGATTTATTTATGCATAGAACTGGGTTGTAGGTCAGAGGTGTGAGGTGAGGGGTGAGAGGATTTATCAGAGTCAGAGTGGAGAGCAGAACAAGCAGACCTACTGAAATACACTGCTGAGGAAAGCAGCAGTTAAGACAGGCGAGGTCTGCTGCATCATATGTGGGTCAGCTACCTGGCTAGGGGTCAAACTCAGGATAGAGTGGTGATAGTGTTGAGACGTGAACCCCTAGACAACCAAAGAGGTCCTTTAAGTAGTTATTTTTACCCTTAGAATATGTCCTCACCTTTCAAAGTCATTTGAAATACATCTCTTTTTTATGCTATTTGCTTGAAATATGTTTATGGTCCTTTTTTAAAGACTATTTCTGATTATTAGAGAAAAAATTTTTAGTGTAATGTGTAAATATCAAAAAATTATAAAATAAGGTAGCAATTTTGATTTTTATGACTTAACTATTCAAGTGTTTGCTATTTTTCTACTGGAAAGTTTGAAAATTTTACATTGCTTTCTAAATGATACTAACTTTTAATATATTTTAGAAATGATATTATTTTTCTCTGTTTTTTACTCTAAATCATTCATATTTTTGACAGTTGTAAGTTAAAATTTTTTTTAAATTTTATCTTAAATGTTTAAAAATTTCCTTTGATATTTCCCCATGAACTTTAAGTTAGAAAGTGTTTTTTTCTCACTATGAAACCATTAGTTAATTTACTTATCCTTTTTTCTTGTTGTTTTTATATTTTTGATTTTGTACTTTTGTCCATAAAGGAGATGCAGTATTTGTTCTGGTGTAAGAATTGCAGATCTAAGAATTCTGTCCCATTATTACACAAACAAGTAATTGCGTCTGGTGTTAAGAATAAGTTTTAATTATTTGTTCACACATTGGTCACAAAGTTCTGGTTTTTTGTTTTGTTTTGTTTTATTTTAGATTTATTTATTTATTCATATAAGAACCAGGGTATAGGCCAGGGGTATGAGGGTGAGAGGATTTATCAGAGACAGAATGGGGAGCAGAACAGGCAGATAGACTGAAACACACTGCTGAAGGGAGCAGCAGGCAAGGTAGGAAAGGTCTGCAGCACCATGTGGGTCAGCTCCCTGGCTGGGATCGAACTTGTGCTGCAGTGGCTGCCAAATAGCTTCATAGTGCTGAGACTTAATCCCTTGTGCTACCAAGGTGGCCCAGGTCACAGAGTTTCAATGAGACAAGTATTCTTTTTCATTTGCAGGTGTGGAGACATCAGCCTGTAAAACTAGCAGTGACATTTGAGGCTGCTATCCTCTGTGATATTTCCCGTGGCCTTTCCTACACCTGGAGCTTCAAGAACTCTGCAGGGAGGCTGGTACCCTTGCCTCCTGCTGTCAGTACACACAGGCAGACCATCATTGTACCCAGCTACTTTCTGGAACCTGGGAACTACACTGCACTGGCTAAGGTGGGCTGGGGCTTAGATACAACTGTCACTTTCACCAGCTTTTGAGCAAAAGTTCAATACTTGCCACTCCTTACCTTTCTAGCTGCAAGATGGGGATTGTTAAAGGAAAAAAAAATGGGGGGAGAGCTTGGGTACAACTTCTAGAGAAATACTTAATTTTGGGGGGGAGAAGATATATTCAAACAATAGAAAAATAATCAATCAAAACTCCTTCTTACTCATTTAATAAAATCACCCTACATACTTGCTATGAATAAGTCACTGTGATGGTTCCAGGGATAGCAAAGGATGAGGAAGTCTCAAAGGGAGCTTATTATCAATGAAGGAATGAAGAATGTCAGTCAGAAAGCAAGGAAATGAAAGATTCATCCTAGTAATCATCTCCAAGTATGAAGGCTATTTCAGCTGGAAAAATAAAAAAAAAAAATATGTGGTTTAAGTGGGGGAAAGGTCCTCTCTAGAATAGTTAGCATCACATACTTAGAAGGGAGTAAGGAAAAGGCAGCTTGATGAAGGCCAAGAAGAAACCCCAGATTCTGTGATGTGGTGTGAACAAAATATGTAATGGACCTTGAGAGATGGTCTGGGATGGGACTGCCAAGTGGGGAAGGTTAGACTGAGCATGTGGACCTGAGACCTGAGCAGTGCCAGTGAATCTCTGCAGTGAGGGAATTTTGTTTTTATTCTGTAGACATTTGGGCTTGCTGTGTGATTCAGTGTCAGCTCCTGGTCAGATGACCCACTAATGTTTCATCAACACCTAGACTGTCCTGGACCCCCTCCAGAAAGCACTGAGGACCACTGGGTGTCCACCCTATTTCTGTGCTTACCATTTGTGTATCAAACCTGTAACTAAAGGCCAGGTAACAGATGCTGCAGGATATGTCTGAGTAGCAGGGTTTAAGATGAAGGTAACAAGAAAAATGAGATAATTTAGAACATAAGCGATACTCCACCATGGAGATACTAAATTGGGAAAGAGAAACAGATTAGAGGCTGGGCATTTGAAGGCTGGAAATTCTCTATAATAATACTTTCTAGAGTAGTCATTATTACTGAAGAAGTACAAATAGGAACACTTGAGTATTTCAGTAGTGAAATCAAGGAACAATAAGAGACTGAAACAGAATTGTGATAGAGAGAATGAAGTGAAGAGCAGATAAATGTAGGAATAGACTTAGGAGTGAAAGTGACCATTCTTGTGACTAATGGAAAGTGAAATGGAAAAGTCAAAAGTTTTATGAGTTGAGTAATGGAGGACAGTGGGACTTTATTTTCCCAATAAAAATGGAGTAAATATTTGTGGCCAAATCTGAGTCACAGATTTTCATCTCTTGCAGAAGAGATTCAAATAGAATTAAGGCTACTGCATCAGTGAGGCCATCCCTGGGGGGCAGTAGATGGAGCCAAATAAAGTTTAGATGAAATGAAATGGGTCACATGACAAAGGAACTCTGGGAAGGATGGCTTATTCATCCTTCAGTGCCTAGAGAGATGGGGGTTAGGGAAGTACTCTGGAATGGTATGTGGTAGTCTGATCATGCCAAAGGGGGTGGAGTTTATAGGAGAGTGACTGAAAGTGAGGCTCTTCTGAAGATTATGGGAAGCTTGAATGGTGAGGATTGAGGTTAGACTATGGTTTCAGAGTTCTGTCATTTGGTTAGAAATTTTATACAGATGCTCAGGGACAGTGCCCAGAATCCAAAAGTAGTAGAAGCTAGGATTGCCAAACAGGAAGTAGAGTCTTTAGAGGACAGGGGAGGAAGCTGAAAAATTAAGCAGTTTTTTTTTTTTTGTAATTCCATAATATAATAAGCATGGGAATCTGTTCTTCCAGTTTTACTTTGGTTTATTTTTTAAATAATGGGCATGTTTTATTGGTTATAAATGGTAAATAATGACAATATGTGTCTTCTTGGTTCAGCTCAATTTCTGATTTTTACTCTATTATTCTCACATTTATAAGAGCAAGTCGGTTTCCTGATACTGTTATTGCTCATGGATCTTTTGGGCACTGAGGTTTCTGGGAAGGTGGTTCCAAGGATGTGTGAAATGGTCCAGGGCCGACCTGGTAAGGTTTTCTGGTGGTTTGTGGTTCCCTAATCTTAACTTCTGATATTCCAGTTGAGGCATGAATGGTGTTCCAGTTGGGCTTTTTTCCTGAGTCAGGTAGCTTGTTTGGATTTCCCAGTTCCTCTTGAGCATGCAAGCTCAGATCTAGTCTTGTTCCTTGCTCTGTTGCCAAGAGGGGAGTAACTGTGACCCATATTGTCCACAGCTAAGAGAAACTGAGCTATTATTCAGCTGGATCACCAGACTACTTAGCACTCATTTCACACACCCCTACAATGGATGTTCATCCCCCTACAATCTGACCCTCAACATTACAGGCCACAAATACCCTGTTGCTTAGGGACAAATGGTCATTCTTTTAAAGTTGATTCCTGATGTTTAAGATCACAATAAGTTCTAGAGTGACCCAGAAAGAGAAGTACAAGACTGCAGGGTCAAGGGTTTCCCTCATTATCTACCAGGCTTGAGAGCATGTGTCACTAGAGTGAGATCCATGCAATGGGCAGTGAAATGTGTGTGAAATGAGTGCTAAGTAGTCTAGTGATCCAGCTGAATAATAGCTCAGTTTCTCTTGGCTGTGGACAATATGGGTCACAGGTAATCCCCTCCTGGCAACAGAGCAAGGAACAAGACTGGATCTGAGCTCGCATGCTCAATGACTCTTTGGTTGGTACACCTACTTGTTGGCCATGTTGTTTCCCTTGATTGCACTCTACAGTATTCTTCTCCAGGCCTTGAGACCTCAGTGGATAAGGTGATGGTGCTCATATTTGATCTCACCATCACAAGTCACATTCATCAGTCATATCTTTGGATGTCCAGAGCTTCCAACCTCTCTTCCATTCTCACAAGTAGCTCCTCACCTTGCACTTCCTCTGTCCTTCATAGACTTGGAAATGAGTTAGAGCAACTGAACAAGACAAAGGCATAAGTGGGAACTTGGATCACACAATGCATTAGATTTCGCTCAGGAGCACCAGCACAGAATCTCTTGGATCTTAAGGAAGAAATTCATGAACTCTTTGGCCAAGAACTGTAATGAAACTGGCACCTGATAAATTTTTCAAAGCACATCAAGCTGTTTATAGAGCACTTTTGAATCTCATATTAATTGAATGTTTCACTATTCAATTCCTGAATTTATCTTAATTTCCATTTTACTTTCTTTAAAGTCCATACTGTATTTGGGGATTAGAGAGGTATTATGAAAAAGGTAACACGATGAAACCCAAGGCTGTGGCAACCACGCTGTCACAGAGCATCTGGGGAGTTATTGCTTAAAATGTTATATTCACAAATCTATAACCCCCCAATTTTGTTTTTAGAAACTTGGTTAGGAAAGTGTTACTGCTCTCATGGACTTTAACCACTTTGTCTCCAGGGGGCACACAGTAGGACCTTTATTTTCACAAATGTAACTGATTGAGGGTTGAAAAGAATTGTCTTTCTGTGCAGATCTTGAAACTGTAGTTGGGGCCAATGATGCATTTAAGCTTATCAGTTTCTTTCCTAATTTTAGGCTGAGAACCCACTTCTTGGGACCACCTTCCCATGTCCCACAGTGACACCCTGTCATTGGCATTACAGGTCCAGGTGAAAGGCAGCATCGTGTACAGCAACTACTGTGTGGGAGTGGAGGTGCGTTCCCGGGCCCCTGTCAGCATGATTTCTGAGGGCACCCACCTGTTTGTCTCCAGAGCCAGTTCATCCAAAATTGTCCTCACGGGGTCACAGTCTTATGACCCAGACATCCCTGGAGCTGTTCTCAGGTGAGCAATCAGGGGCTGCCACCACCCATTCTCAGCACAAGCCTTTTCTCTGTCCTCTCCCTCCCCCAAACACAAGCTCTGGAACATTGGGACAGTCATTTATAGAATTTTGATATGATTGTTTTATAGATCTATAAGTGTGTGTGTATATATATGTATAGATAGAGATAGATAAATATAGATAAATAACTGTGTATACACACACACATTTAGGTACATTATATGTACATATTGGAACATTATATATATATTATATACACTTATATATATGTATGTGTATATATATATATATATATATATACACACGCATACACACACACCAATGTATGTGTGTATATATGTGTGTATGTGTGTGTGTACATTATATATACATATATTGTACATTATATATAGTGGTACATTATATGTCTATATATATAATATGTATATATAGTATACACACACATACTTGTAGATCTATGTATTGATAGGTAGATAGATTATATTAATTATATTATATTATACATAATGTACCTTTAACTAATATTTCTTTTGGGATCAAAATATAAGGAAATTTGGGAAAGAAGTAGAAATAAAACATGAATAGCTTTATAATTTGATATTTATGTATTTTTTAATATGAAGTTTATCCGTTAGTCAATTGAGGTACCATAGTGAACTACTGCAGTCTGTGTGTGTTACAAACAATGGACACTTGTTTCTGACAGCTAGAAATTCAAGATTAAGGTGCCAGAAGATTCAGTATCTGAAGAGGCCCTGCTTCCTAGTTCACAGATGGTTGTATTCTGTGTCCTCACATGGCAGGTGAAAAGGGAGCTCTGTGGGGGTCTCTTTTACAAGGACATTGATTCTGTTTATGAAAGTTCTGCTCTTATGACTTAGTCACCCCTTTAAGACCAACCTCAAAACGCCATCACTTTGGGGACTTCAGGATTTCAAAGTGAGTTGAATCTGTTGATATCTCAGGTCACAGAGCTATTCAGTCAACAACAAATATGTTACTTTATTTTTTTAATTCTCAGTTTATATGATGCCTTTAATGGTAGGAGGCTTGATTTCTGATGGCTAGGCATCTCCAAGTGGATGAATAACTTGATTTTGAAATCTTTGCTTTGTCTTCTCTACCCACACTTGCTCCCCTCACAAAGTGCACTATCAAGGACACCATTCATACACAGTAGCTTGAAAACCTCATCTTCCACATTCACCATCCACACACATAACCTGGAATACACATCTTTGTGGACCATCCAGGGACACCTCCATGCACCAATAATGCCGAGGACGGGTCCCCTATTCAGACCTCCTCCTCAACTCCAGACTGGGTGTCCTGTCATATTTCCTCAGCAACCTCTATATGAGCCTAGTGACACATGAGCCTCCTCCAGCCTGTCTTCCTGTATCTGCTGAAGGAAGGACACTTCTAGTTGCTCAGGACAAAATCTTTAGCAGCATGATTGACTTCTCTTTTTCTTTCTCACTTCCCATCTGTTTGTCAGGAAATCTTGTTGGCTCTGTCCTAATCTGAGCTGCCACCACTTCAGTTTACCTGCTTAAAGTTCTTATTGTCTCCAAGTCTCACCCATCCCCTTCAGTCAATTCTCTAATAACAAGTAGGTGAGTCTAAAGTAAGGCGGAAACATTTCATGACTCAAATTCTTGTCAGTGCTTATCCACTCAGTGAAAGTCTGTCAACAGTGCCCCTGAGGCCCAACCCGACTAGCCCTCATGTCACCCTGAACTTCTCCTCAGCAGCCGCTCTCAGAAGGCCCAGGTGGGCCTCTGCCTCATTACTGCTGTATCACCTCCCTCAGTTTACCTGTTATCATCCTTTCCCCTTCATCCTTTTGCAAGCATACCTTCCCAGGAAGGCTCTCATTGAATGAAACACTAAAGTAACAACATACCTATCTTGATTCTACTGTTCCATACCCCACCACAGCCTCCTCCCTCTCGCTTCCAATAATGTGCTTCCTTACATTTATCATCTGTCCCCATTGGGACATGTGTCCCTTGTACCTGGTATGTGATAAATAGTCCATAAATATTTTAGCAGCCTTTCTTCACCCCTGGATGGCATGCATAATTACTGAATTCCAATGTGGTCTTGAGGTTTCACTAGGTAGGTGGATATGAGGGTCTCCCTACCGCCTCCCACTGGCCATTTTCACATATAAGCTGAGCACTCCAGGAGGTAGACCTGTCTTATTTATCTCTGTGTCCCCTCTTGATCCCAAGTACCCAATAAGTTACCCCAAAACAAGAGCTCAGTATAAGTCTGTTGAAACTAAAGCTGTTCTGCTGCCAGGAGCGAATACTCTCCCGGCTTCTCCACTTTCTCAGTGGAAGAGGTTGCTCTGCGCATGCGTGAGCTGTCCCCACCAGCAGAGGGGGCTGGGTGGCTCCATTCTGCTGGGGGACTCAAGGGAGCAGGGTTCTACAGTGCTGCCGCCTCCCTTTGAACAGGGAGGTTTAGATCTCATACCCACCTTCAAATTGCTTACAATCCACACAGGAAAGTGGAACTTTGAGATGAACTTCAAACTTTGTGGCACTTGTGTGGGTGTCATTGCTGCGGGGTCAGCACAGGTTCCTCCCTAGCTTCTTTCTACCTGGGGGCATTTCTTGCAGTGGTTGCCACTGATAGAGTGGGACCCACTGTGGTCTTCGCGATTGGTGAAGGCAACAGTTGTAACAAGGCAGAGGCTGGTCGTGGAAGCACCGACTACATATCCTGGTCAGTTCACTTCTGGAACTGGCAACTCCCTGAAGCCCTAGGAATGCATTTCCTTCCTAAAACAGAGTGATGGGGCCCGTGGAACTGCGAGGATCAGAGTCACTTGTGAAACGCTGCTTCCATGCTTCCATGGTGGTGTGGGAGATGCGAGCAGAGGTGGGAGGGAGGCTTCTCACAGGAGTGAGCAGGGCAGCTGGCTACCAAGGGGGTGGGAAACACAGGGTGGCCTGGAAGAGCCCTAAGAGAATGAACTGGGAGGGCAGACCTGGTCCCCAGGTGCGGTACTGCCCCCACCCCTTGTACATCACAATACAGGGAAACATGCCAGCAACCATGTGGTCACCTAACTGGCCAGAGGGAGCATCAACGTCTTCCTTGGCCTCTCCACAGGTATCACTGGAAATGCACGGTGGCCAGCATGCTCAGGCACTCCTGCTTTGCACCCTCCACTCCAAGTTGCCTAGACACAAGTGCTCCCACCCTGGTCTTTGCAGCGAACTCTCTCAGTGACAGCTATGACCAGTTTCTGGTGACACTGACAGTGTCCAGCCATGACCGAAACTCCTCGGAGGCACAGGTGTTCTTGTCTACCCGCTCGGACCCAATGTTCAGGTACCACTGGCCCTGCATTCCCCTTATACAAGTCCTTCAAATTGCTCTCTTGTGCCAATGCCCAAACAGTGGCCAGAGCACCCAGAGAAAACTGCTGTGTGTGCAGGAGTTGGGGATTCAGTCACACAGGATACCCAATGTTATGAGGAAGGGGGGATGATCAGGAAAGACCAGGAGGGACCCTTCTTTCTGGCTGGCCTGGATGGATTTCATCAGTTACTACCATCAAAGTGGGAATTTGGTCAGCAGTAACTGAGGTACCTTTCTGGTGCCATAATAGTTGCCCCATGATAAGAATCAACCCCAGGACTTGGACCAAAGTCAGAGCATGAAAGGCATTTCAGAGTCTCTTCCCAAAGCCTTCTAAGCATCACTGAGCCAGGGGCAGGAAGGCAGTGTGGGCCCAGTGTAATCCTTAAGCCTACAGGGAAAGGAAGCACAGAAATGTGATCACAAACCCAAACTGTGCAACACAGAGGCTAAAGTGGCACCACAGGGCCACACACAGGCCCAGACTTCAGATCAGGTAGCATGTGCCACTGCAGTTGCTCTGGACAGTGCCCGTGGGGGCTGAGTTGCTAAGGTGGTGTATGAATCAGACTCCAGTATCTGCAAGACACCTGGAAGGCCTGAAGGAATGGGCAGGGCCACTTCCATCATTAGACCCTACCCATTGGTAGGGTCTATATAAAAACCACTCCTGATAACAGTGTGGGCTGGGTAATTTCTGGAGGGCCTCCTGGAGGAGGAAGCAAATCAGCAAATCTGTTATGCCTGACATGATGAGCAGGAAGGGAGGGTGTGATTTGTGCCTCCACAGTCAAAGGTCAGTCTGGTGGAGCCCCCACTCCAGGGGGTTAGGTTTGAAACTGTAAAAAATGATTATCTGGTGTGAGACAGTGCTTCTGCAAGATCCAGACAGACCCAGGCCACATATATGCTACTTAAGACCCCTGGTCTATATTAACAGTGAAGAAATACCAGTTCATGGCAGCGAACATTGGTACATAATTGAACTGATTATATTTAGCAAATTAGATGTCTTTATTCTAAAAACATAATGTACCATATAATTTTGCCACTCACATGATAATCACAAAATTTACTGTAACATATTCATCACTGTATACTGAAGTTAATCTTCTGTTAGTTCTGTCAGGAAATTTGGGGGCCTGTGTTGACGGTGTTCCCGGGAGGTCTTAGGTCAAATGGCCTCTCATTTGGCTGTCTCTACTCTCATCTCTATCCCACTCCACCTCCACATACATGTCACACATGAAGAGAAACACACACACAGACTCCCACACACAGAGACGCACTGTCATGTGTATGCACCAGGTGAGGCCAACCTGGGGTCATGTGGTAGTATGGCACCATGCGACCTGTGGGCCATAGTATCCTGCCTGGAAGCCAAGTGTGGAGGCAGCAGGATGTGAGTGAGAGCAGTGTCTCCATGTGCGAAATGTGGGTATGCACCATACCCACACCCGCATTGGGAACGCCTTTCCAACCTTGGCCTTCTAAAGTCTCCCCAAGACCATAGGAAAGACATCCAGTGAGTCAGGTCTAACAAAACAGTCCCAGGCAAATGAATTATGTCCTAAAGCATGGTGTTCCTCAAAAGGCACTTTGGAGAGTGCCAGTTAAGCAAGAGTGCAGAATTAGGAAGCCAAGCCAGCTTAGGGAAGTTGGCAGGACTCAGGGCCACAGACCAGCAGTCAAACGCAGCTCTCCCTTCGGTCTGTGTGCCCACTGCGTTTGTGCCTTTGCCGCCTCGGAGCATGGCCTCTTGTCTGTTGTGGACATGCAATGTAGAGGTGGGCAGGTTCAGTCACGCCACAGCGCTTCTCCATGATGCTGCTACCTCATCAAGACCCAGCTTCGCCAACACACCTAACATGAATAATGCTGCCAGAGAAGTCTCCCAGTATCTTCCCAAAATGTCAAACCCGACTCGATTCTTCCAGATTCATCCACATCTCCTGGGTCAACTTTAAGGACATCTTTGTTAACTGGAATGAAGAAATTTCTTTCCAAGCTAACTGTGAAGACTGTGATGGAATGTTGAATCTCTTTTACTCCTGGGACCTCTTTTTAGTCAACGCAACAGAAAAGAATAGCCTAGAAGGTAAAGTTTATTGTTGCTTTGTTTTATTAAGAGGACAAAGGTGCGCTTTTCCGAGATGACTAACATTTGGTAAGTCTGACTTGTGTGTCTTGTCCATTGATTTGTTCCAGTGTCCCAGCGCTCTTGCTTCTACACTTCTGTAGTGACAGCAACAGCAGTAGAAATGGATGTGTTCACTTAGTGCTTCTCAGACTTGCTGCCATCTGGGAGGTGGATCGGCATCATTGAGCAATGGGAGCCATTTGGAATGATGCAGGATTGGTGATTAGTTCACTGCTCCAGGGCCCTCCCAGCTCTACCTTGCTTCTCAGGCAGTGGCTCTGTGGACACTGGCTGAGGAGCTGGGAGGAAGGCTTGGTTCCCACCTTCCCTCTACACCGTAAGCTGTGACTAAAGCATGTCCCTAAGACAGTTTTCTTGGGTGTAAAGTGTGGATTATAGCAGTTCCCAGGGTGGGGCTGAGGCTGAGTAAGTCACATGCGAACTCAGGGCACTGGGAATGTGGTGTTGCCCACGAGTGTTGAACTGGGGTAAGACTTTCTCACTGGTTGCATTTGTGCTGCGAGGCTTAATTCTAAATGGCAGATGGAAAAACGCTTATCTTTAGTTGGATCCTTCTGTCTTCTACAACAGAAGCTTATGCCAAACCCTCAGGGACTTTGGGCATGCTTTTATTTGTATCCATCGGACATATACAAGACGTAAGTAGAGCTTCAAAAAAACTTGATGTGAAGGAACATAAAGACAGAGAAATCTCTGCTGTCCTCTCTGCAAGGAAGGCATTCCCATGATACTCAAGTAAACCAATTTTTTTTTTTTTCTGATTCAGAGCTTACGCTGGATGAACTAGAGGAGCTTGTAGTGCAAACACACCCAATGGTTAAATTTTCAGCAAATCAAATGCTTGTCCCAGGATTGCTGGGGCTGCTGAACCTTTATTATCAAAGGATTGGACTCTCTCATGGGAAAGTAAAAGCCTGTTAAGATATCATTTTTATGTAGTTGCAACGTGTTGTTTGTTATTGCACCTCAATCATAAATTCTAACAACAGTGTTTAGAATTGTTACATTGGGCATGTCCTGAAAGGTGTAAAGAGTAGGAGCACCACCATGCACCCAGATGCTTCATACAGGAGGCATGAGGGCCTAAGGGTTGGACAGACCCTCCCAGGTCCAGGTACTGAGGGAGAGCGAAGTCCTGGTGACATGGTTTTGCAAACTCGTGTCTGTTCCTGGTTGGTCTGCATGTCACCCTGGCACTTATTTTGTGGATATCATTCTCAACTTCATATGAGATTTGCTTTTTGTTTCTTTTTTACTTTACTTTATTTATTTAATATTATTGTTCATTTTTGTATGTTTGATTTCTCCCCTCAGGTATAATCCCCATAAAATTTTCAACACCAAATCACTTGCAAACTGTCTCTTGTATTCTTCTCTCCCATTTCGATGACTTTCCCTTGCCCTCCCCTGCTGTAGGTCTCAGATTTATAGTTTTTCTGCCAGTTCTGTATTTTTTTTACTCCTGACCCCTTGTTCAGTTTCACTAGATTCCTCCTAAGAGTGAAACTATTTGACATTTTTCTATTTCCTTCTGACTTATTTTACTGAGCATATTCCCTTCCAGCTCCATCCATGTTGCTGTGAATGGTATGAGCTTATCTTTTTTGAGAGCTGAGTAGTATTCCATTGTATATATATACCACATCTTCTTGATCCAGTCACCTGTTTGGGGGCATTTAGGTTGTTTCCATATCTTAGCTATTGTAAACAGTGCTACAGTAAAAAAGGAGTGCAGGTTTCCTTTTGAATTAAAGTTTTTGCGTCCTTGTAGACTCCTAGGCATTCAACTACTGAGTCATATAGTAAATCCATTTCTAAAAATTTGAGGGTTCCACACAGCTTTCCTTTGTGGGTGGAGCAGTTCGTATTCACTGTGTGTCATTTGTTTAAAATAGAGCATGCTCATGTACTTTGTAGCATGTTAAAGTGATTTTCCTTCCTTTCTTCCTTCCATTTCTCCCTCCTTTTCTCCTTTCATCTTGCCTTCTTTCCTTTCCTTAAAAATTCACAAGAGAAAAAAATTCACAGCTCCTGTTATAGTACAGTTATAAGCTCATAGTCAATGACAGTTAAAAGCTCTAGAAACAATACATAGTAAGCCTTAGTGAATTTATAATTTAGTAAGCCAGGAAGCTACCTAAATATACTCAACTAAGATATAATATATCTGCCTAATCCATTTTCTTCCTCACTCTCAGAACCAAACAGATCCTGGCACTTCCCCAAATAGCAGATATGTCCATGTAGTTTTCCCATCATATACGTATATAAATGTTCAGTTTTGTTTTATCTAGTCTAGGAGGACTTCCTGAAAATAGTTGAACTCTGACAGAAAAAATAAATACAGGCCATAGGGAAACCAAAATCAAGGCAGTCATTCCAAGCATGAAATGTATAGTATTCATGTCAACATGCAACTATGTGGTTTTCAGCAGGGAGTGAAAAAACCTGTACTTAGAAATCACACTTAAATTTATAACTCTTCTTCTACTCTTTAATAAATATGTGACTTTAAGTAAGTTATTTAATTTTTCTGAGTCTAGCTCCTTCTTACAATATTTTTTCTTGTCTTACTATTTTTTTAAACCCACTAAACCAGTCATGCCCATACACTATCTGCCTCCTTTGCTGCCCCTTGTCCTTTCCCCTAACCCCTCTGGTAACCATTACCTTTTTGCTGAGTTCAATTTTTCATTCCTTCTATTATTTCTTTTTAAGATTTATTTATTTATGCATACAGAACTGGGGTACAGGTCAGAGGTTCAGGGGTGGTGAGAGGATTCACCAGAGACAGAGTGGGGAGCAGAACAGGCAGATCGATGGAAGTACACTGTTCAGGGGAGTAGTGGGTGGGTCAGGAGAGGTCTGCCAGGCCATGTGGGTCACCTCCGGGGCAGGGATCAAATTCATGCAGAAGTGGCTTTAGCTTCTTAGTTCTGTGCTTTAACCTGCTGTGCCACCAGGGAAGGCCTCCTTCTATTACTTGTATGTAATTGTTTTCTTTCGTATTTATATTCCATAATTGAGTGAAACCGTCTGAAATCTGTCTTTCACTTTCTGATTGATATGCTCAACATAATCCCCTCAAGATCCATTCATTTTGTTCAAATGCCACTATTTCATTTTTCTTCGTAGCTGTGTAATATTCCATTTGACACATGCTCAACGGTTTCTTACCCATTCATCTGTTGAAAAACACTTGGGTTGGTTTCATGGTTTCTGCCTCTAGTGAGGCAATCACAAACAGTGCTGCTCTGTACACAGGCATAGGCAGAACTTTTCATACTGGATTTTTGTGTTATTTGGACTTAGTAATGTTATTTCTAGGTCAAGTGAAATTTCCATTTTTATATTCTTGAGAAATCTACACCTTGCTTTCTACAGGGTCTATAGCAGCTTGCATTCATATCAGCAGCAGGTGAGAGCTTCATTCCCACGGGGGTGAGGTGGCATTTCAGTGGTTTTAATTTATAATAAGTGATGTTGAACATTTTTTCAGTTGTCTATAGGCCACATATATGAATGTCTTCTTTAGAAAACATGTCTGTTGAGGCCTTTTGCTTATTTTTTTTTAATTGGGTCATTTATTTCGTTGTTGTATTGAGTAAGTACTTTGTAGGCTTTGGAGATTAACTGCTTGTTAGATGTATGCTATGCAATTTTTTCCTCATTCTGTAGGTTGCCTTTTTGTTTTTGGAAAGCTTTCTTTTGAGAGACAAAAGCTTTTAAGTTTGTTATAATCAGAGTTTATTTTTACTTTTGTTTCCATTGCTGCTGGGGTTGGATTGCCAAATACATCTTTATGGTGGCTGACCTGGAGTGTGCCCCCAAAGTTTTCTTTCAAGTACTTTATGGTTTTCTTCCTTTTTTTTTTAAGATTTATTTATTCATGCATACAGAACTGGGGTACAGGCCAGAGGCTCAGGGGGCGGGCCAGGAGAGGTCTGCCACACCATTTGGTCACCTCCGGGGCAGGCGGGGATCGAACTCATGCGGAAGCGGCCTTAGATTCTCAGTGCTGTGCTTTAACCCGCTGCGCCACCAGGGAGGGCCTATGGTTTTATTTCTTATGTCCAAATCATTAATCCATTCTGAGTAAATTTTTTTTGTATGGAGTTAAATATGTGTCTTGCTTGTTTTTTGTTTGTTTGTTTGTTTTTGCATGTAGCTATCCATGTTTCCCTGTGCCATTTATTAAAAAGGCTATCTTCCCTCAATTGTAGAGTTGTGGCTCCTTTATCAAAAATTAACTGTCCATATTTATATGGATTTATCTTTGTATTGGTCTGAGTTTCTGGGTTTTTTTTCTAGGATCATACTGTTTTGAATATTATTGCTGTATATTATTAGGAAGTTAAGAAAGGTGATGTCTGGGGCCCTCCCTGGTAGGGCAGCGGGTTAAAGCACAGCACAAAGAAGCTTAAGCCACTTCTGCATGAGTTCGATCCCTGTCTGCCCCGGAGGAGATCCACAAGGCGAGGCAGACCTCTCCTGACCCTCCTGCTGCTCCCCTCAGCAGTGTACTTCATAGATCTGCCTGTTCTGCTCCCCATTCTGCCTCTGGTGAATCCTCTCACCCTCTGCATCTCTGGCCTGTATCCCAGTTCCTTAAAAAAAAAAGGAAAGAAAGAAGGTGATGTCTGTATGTTTCATTTTTCTCTCAAGATTGTTTAAGCTACGTAGGTCCTTTTGTATTTCCATATGATTTTGATACTTGTTTGCTTTAGCTCCTTAAAAGAAATCATTAGTATTTTAGTAAGTATTGTTTTAAATCTGTAAATGGCCATTTTAATAACTCTGCCTACCCCAGAGCTCAAGATATCCTTCCATTTCTTTGTGCAGAATATCTTTCTTTAAACTAAATGAGCCTTTTGGTCAAATTTCTATTAAGATTTTTTATTTATTCATGCATACAGAACCGGGGGATAGGCCAGAGGTGCAGGGGTGGTGAGAGGACTCAGTAGAGGCAGAATTGGGAGCAGAACAGGCAGATCAATGAAGAACACTGCTGAGGGGAGCAGCAGGTGGGTCAGGAAAGGTCTGCTGTGCCATGTGGGTCACCTCCAGAGCCGGGGATCTAACTCACACTGAAGGAGCTTGTAGTGCTACGTCCTAACCTGTTGCACCACTAGGGAGGGCCTTCTGTCAAATTTCTAACACTTCAAGGCTTATTTAATGTTAATATTAAATTTAATGGCAAATGTTTGTCTAAGTTCCATTTTGTAGAACCGTGGGACTTCTGGGCTTCTCAGGACTTGGCTCTTTTTCCAAGTTGTCAGAGACACACCTGCTATTCAAGGAGCCAAACAAGGCAGGTGTCACAGCACTGCCCCCCGGGGAGCTGTTGCCAAAGACACCAGACCAGCCTACCTTTTCAGCTTCAGGGAGCACCCCAGAGATCGTAGGTGGTATGTACTGAGTTTTTGCTTTTAATGACATCACTACCTTAATCCCCTATCCCCTTCTCTCTACGGGGAACCCCAGATGCCCAGCCCAGCCCCCTCCACCCTTCTACTCACTTCTCTACACCCTTCCTGCATGGTGTCACTTTTGTATGGTCACTAGGACAACCTTATAAGGGCAAAATCTGGTGGTTTATGTGTGAAATCACAAGCAATTTTTGCTAGCACCTGCCACTTGCTAGATGTGTGATGCTCCCAAATTTGTTTCCTTTTCTTCGCATTGGAAGCATGTATTGTGTCTGGCTAGAATAAACGTGTTATACACACCAGCTTTCCCATCCTTCTATCCTCCCTTATGGATAAATGTTTTTGTTATCACTGGTTTTTAGGTTGTGCAAAAATTACTGTTGTGCCTAACACATGAGAGAAAAGTTAATTGTCAGTGAGAAAAGTTCTGTCTTGAACCTGCACTCCCCTGCTCCATGAGCCTCTCATGTTCAGCCCCGTTTGCCCTGCAACAGACCCTTCATTCTAGGTTTCTAGTCTCCGTCAGCTGGCAGGAAGGGTCTCTGATTTGTTCAAACTTTGGAGAAAAAGACTTCAGGGACAGAAAAGTGGCAATGGAATAGGAAGTCCTTGTGGCCATTTGTCCCCTTCTAACACTCTAGCTAGTATTCTCTGAAACAATATAAAAGCTCACTTAAGGAGGCCTTGAGCCTCGACTCCGCTTCTCGATGGGCTGCCTATGGAAGGCCACGTTCCTACTGGAACTCAGCTCCTTTGGGGAGGGAATGACAGCTGGATCCCCAACTGACAGGATACAGCAGCGAAAACCTGCCATAGATGGAACTTCATAACCCATGAAACTATGTGTGGACTCTAGAATAGACCAAGGGCCATGTTTGGGATCTTTCAGGGGAATTGATATTGTCGGTGTGCCTGTGGTTTTCAATGAAATATTATGATTTTGTCCTTTCACATAGATTTTGAAGCCTATTACAGTGATATCCAGGAAGCCATGCCCTCCACAGGAAGACACCCAGGTGACTATGTCTGTGATTGCTGCCTCCTTCCTGAGCCCTGTGGCAGTGTCTCTCCCATCAGGCCACTGAAATCTCACAGAGTCAAAGGAAAGAGTTTAAACTCTCTTGCAGGGCACAGTTGGACCCAACTTTTATTTCCAGCTTAGCTGCTTCTGCACTTTCAGTAGCCTATGTTTCAAAACCCTGAGTGTAGACTCAGTCTGAGTAGACACTATCCCCTTCCACACCTTGGTCCACAGGTAGTGACAATGCCTCCCTCAGCGTCCTTCTCACATTGTCCCCACGGTAAGCTTCTTCCTCCCTGTTGGCTTCAATTTCCCTGTTTGGGAAGTCCCCCTCCTCTTGGTAACAATTCCTAGTGCAGGGTATTTATTCTTCCTGTTTAAAGCTAGTGGCATGTCATACAAATGAGCTCTTCAGAGAACATCTCCATGGCAAGTCTTTACTGGTGTCCCTCAACTCTCATAGCGCCTGGCATACTGGCACTCAGTGACATGTTAGCTAATTAATGCATGGATGATCAGTGAACTGTTCATTTAGTGGATAAACAGATCGGGGAATGAATTATTTAGCAAATGAACAGATGGTTAATCAGTGAGTGAATTATTTAATGAATAGGTGCATGTTCATGCTATCAACTGCAGTGTTTTCTCTCAAAGTTCTTTTCAGGAGCCTCCAGCTTTATGGTTTCTTCATGTTTATTGCAGACACCTATTTTAGGGCTCACTTTTACATTCTCAGTACATGATTAATATGAAATATTGAATGAGGCAGACAGTGCATTCATGAAATTATTATTCCTGATATAGTTGAATCCATTCAACTCCCTAACATTGATGTTTTATCATAATAAACTTATTCATTAACTCTTATTTGAAGTTAATCTCAAATTAGCCTTCCCTAATAAGTGTCCTGCTATCTCTAGGCAGAGCCCAGCTTCTTGCCTAGACTATGCAGAAATTTTCATGTTCCCTCTGCCACTGTCTTGCTGCCTGTAGTCATTTACCACATACAGCCAGATTACTTTTAGAACCTGAAACTAGATTTTCATCCCAACCAATCTCTAAGATGACTTTCCACCACACGTAGGAAGTCATCTTACACTCTCAGTACATGTTTAATAAGTAATATTGAATGAGGCAAACATTGCATTAATGAAGTTATTATTCCTGATATAGTTAAGAATCCATTCATTTCCCTAACATTGATATTTTTTCAAAGATTCATTCATTTATCAAAGGACTGGGGTACAGGCCAGAGGTGCAGGAGCGATGAGAGGATTCACCAGAGACAGAGTGGGGAGCAGAACAGGCAGATCGATGAGGTATACTACTGAGGGGAGCAGCGGGCAAGACAGAAGAGGTCAGCTGCACCCTGGGATGTAACTCACATGGAAGCAGCTGCAGTTAGCTTGCAATGCTGTGCTTTAACATGCTGCGTCACCAGGGAGGGCCCTACATTGATATGTTTTATCATAATATTGTGCCACACATAGGGTAACCGTTGAAGGCTCCAGTCATTCCCAAATTATTTTCTTCAAATTTCTGTTCTGACCTTTACCTAAGAGGACCTTTCTGATCCAGTCAGTCTCTCTCTGCCCCCATCTTCTCACTCCCTCTCTCCCCTCTCCTCTGTCCCTCCAGTATGTCTAGAGGACACTTATCATTCCCTGGCTTTAAAATATTTAAGTAAGTGTTGGTGTTTTGTTTTGTTTTGTTGCCTTGTTTACCATAGAATTCCTCTACTATGATTATTCGTCTCTAGACTACAACCTGATCTTAGTAGATCAGAATAAATATTTGGTGAATAAATAAAGGTAGTTGACTTGTTGAAATGATGTTGAAATTCATCTCTTGAATACATTAAGCTACTGAGATCTATTTTAGATGTGCAGTATTTAGTAATAGTAGAAATCGCTACTGGTACTGACTTGGAACCATCCATGCCTTAAGATCACTATGGCTTTTACGCTACCATCCACTGGCTTGGTTTGTCTTCTTAGGGACCCACCTTGCAGGATCAGAGCCAAGCATGAGTGCTGATGGGGGGCATGGTGACGGGGATAACCTTGTGGGCCCCTACCTCCCCACTGTTAGTGCCAGGCCTACGCTGCTGGTCGACTGGCCCAAGTCCCTGCTGGATCGAGCTGTTTTCCGTGGCTATTCCACCTCTGGTAAGTTTGCCTTTTGCATCTTGGAACTGCAGCTGTTTAAACAGGGTTCTGATATCAAACCCCTCAATGTCTTCTGTAACTTTTCCTTTTGTTAGAAATTATATGAAACAATCATACCTTTCCACTTGCACCTGTCCCAATGTGACTCTAGGCAAGGCTCTTTCATTAAAGTCGAATAGCCTTCGTGGCCTGCCAGTAGCCTCTGTTCTCAGACCACAGGGAAGAACCAGCTAACTAATATAAGCAGCCTCCCCGACAATGACCAGAAGTGTCCAGACACGTGTGCGCACACATCTTGCTGTGCCTGGCATGCAGACCGGAAGGGCTGTTCCGGGATTTCAGTGCATGACACATCTGTGAAGAACCCTGGGGTGGTAATAATCCCGCTGGTGCTGTTGGTTTCTTGGACCCATAACACATGCAATGTCGTGTCTGCACACACGCCCTGAGTTCCACACTGTTAGGATTTCCTCTATGTTCTTTCCCTACAACATTTTAGAGAACATAGTTTAAAATTGTGCCATTTAAAATGTACTGTTTGGGTCATCAGTCTTCCATTGGAGATTTCTGTTTTTGAAGTGTGTCATTCAGGGTCAAACGCCACCTGCTAAGAAGTGACTTGGTCACTGATGGCCAAGTCACAGCCAGGTTTAAGAGACTGTTCACAACCCATGTTTGACAAAGATTTAAAATTTGTTTTGAAATACCTTGCCCTAACTGTATAGCTAAATTAAACACAAAGTAAACTCTAACCTAATTGTAAATATGTAAATTAAGCTCTTACTGGCACTATCTCACTGCCCGGAAGCATAACCTTGTTGAACCAGGCTCGCTGTCACGCAGGGGCCAGGAGGTGAGTTTTTAGCTCCTAGAAGGCTGGCCATGGCCGACTGTTGACATTTTCAGGTACAAACAAGTCACCTAACTGGTGTCTGCCTTCACTCTGGAGTGAGAGGAGCCTAGTACTGGAGGAGGCTGACAGACCCCCTGGTCCAGAGCGATGTGGCTTCTCCTTTTCCACAGGTGTAACGGAGCACGCTGTGACAATACAGCCACACTCGCTGAGCCCTGGAGAGACGTACGTCCTACAAGCTTCTGTGGGTATGTCATCAGCTATATCTGCTGCAGGAGTGCTAGAGGTTTGATTATATTCATATTTCTTTCTCCTGGAAATTTCAGTTATTTCTGACTCTCCTGGGCCCTTGTTTCCGAGCGGCCTCACTCTCCCCTCCCCCCACCTCCGCTGTCACTTCACCCCTCTCTGTTGCTTCCTGAGTCCATCACAGGCAAAGGGGACACCTGTGTGTTGTTGTAGATGTGCTTTGCCTTACGGGGTCAAGGGGAGGTTTAGATCGCAGTAAGACTGGAACAGTTTCTTTGATTACAGGTATATTTTATTTATAACACACACTGGACAAGTTGCATCCTGCTCTGAAAATTTTCTACATATCTTTAAAACTCCAAAAAGAATTTTTTATACTTCAATGTTTTAAACTCATCATGTGTTTATTTACCCATTGCTCTGCTCCACACGTCTCTGGTCTGTCCACACGCAATCTGGCATCCTCCTTTTAAATACTTTGCCCCATTTCTAGATTTTCAGTTCTAAGCATTCAGCCATTCCTGTCTACAGGTGGCTTTAGCTCAATACCCACCATTTGAGTTAATTAAACCCATTGTGTTTTTCCACCTTGCATTCTGCGTGACTCACATTTCTCCCAAGTGAGAAGCTCAGGTTCACTTCCTCTGAAAGCTTGGTGGTGGGCTCAGGAAGGCCAAAGTCCATTTTGTTTCTCATTGTTTTTGCTGACAACTTTGTAAATGTCTTCCTGTCCTTTCCACAATGCTTTTAGAAACTAAATCCTAGATCCTGGTTTGAGCACAAAAGAGACAGCAGGTGCATGATTTCAGATACATTTTACCCTTTGGCAAGATCTCTCTTTTGTTTCTGAAAAGTTTGTTCAGCTACTAAATTGTCCACACTGAAGACCATCTCTCAGAACGGTTGTTTGGTAGCAGTGAGGAGACGCTGAGAGCGAGCCCATCTGTGCCCCAGAGACCAGGATGGTGCAGTTCTCCTAAACCCCACCCCGAGGTGATGCTCTCTCCTGTTGATGGCAGGCCACCCTCTTGTCTCAAGTCTGCCTGTGGTTATTTCAGGATAGGTCAGGGGGTGCTCATTCTGTCCCCCAAGTTGTTTTCCCAATCCAGTGTGGACTGCTCCATGTGTCTCCTGTGGGACTATCTCTTGTAAGCAGGCTAAGGAAATCACCTCCTTCTCCTTACCTGACTCTGAAATGGAATCCGTCTTCATGGTTGATGTGACCACTGGGCTAGACAGAGTGTGAATTGTGTCGAGTCTGGTGACTGGTGTGTAGTGGAAGCCAGCAAACGGTGCCCACCGTCATGACCATCACCATCACTGTCAGCAGCATCGGCATGTTAAACAACTTAACTATATGAATCTTGCTCCTATAATTTATCTCCAGAAAAAGACATCAAAGTAATTGTGTGTGTGTGTGTGCACGCTGTGTAAGAATAGTCATTATAGGGTGATGTAATAACAGCAGTAGAAATTAAAATGCTTAATCATTGGAGAAAAGTTGTTATGTGAACTAGGGTATCTGCTCAGTAGAATCATAAAGTTATCTGCAGTGGTGGTTTGGAGCTCTGTCTGGCAACATGGAAAATATTTTATGTTATCAATATAGTTGAGAAAAGCAAAATACGACACTATACCAGCACTATAAATTCAACTAAAGTATACTTAGGTGTGTTTGTGGAACAGGCTTTAAGTGAAGGAGGTTTGATGTGCTGTGTTCCTTGGGATCATATGCTCCAGGCTTTGATTTCTGTCCCATGATGGTTGGCTGGTTTCCAAGAAGGGAGCTGGTCTGTCCCTTGCACTCTGGCCTCCTGGGGCCTCAGCTTGTGCTGCCCACATGGTGGGCACCCAGGAACCACCTGTTATACTCATGGGTACTGTGCAGTAGTGTCCTCAGTCCAGAGGACAGCAGACTCCTCTGGACACTGTGTGCCACAGATCAGCATTAACTTTGATTCTCCAGGTCTGGGGTGCATTCAAGAATCAGTTGCTAACAAGTTTTTAGATGATAGAGTTCAGTCTTAGGAACATGCCTTGGGAACAAACCCATGTTTGTATTATAAGACTATAATCCTACACCAGCAACATTTTCCACTATGGCTTTAATCTCTGTTTTATCTTCTCTTTAGCTTCAAAGCACAACTTACTCGGGAAAGCTCAGCTATACTTGACCGTCAACCAAGCGCCCAGGGATGTGTCCTGCCAGCTGCAGCCCCCTCATGGCCTAGAAGCACATACCATTTTCAGCATCTTCTGCATGTCTGGGAGACCGGTATGGCAGGCCTTATCCCAGAGCAGTCCTGGAGCAGCAACAGCTCTCAGAAATTGTGGCCAATCTCAGGGTGAAATGCAGCAGGCTGGAAAGCATCCTTCCCACTGGGGCAGATTTGGGCCTGAAACTTCATGTTGGGAAGTTACTGAGGCCTGAACAATCTCCCTCCAGTAGGGAGGTATATAATGGGAGGTATACCCATTAGCAGGAGGCAGATTCTGGGAGCAGGGGAGCATGGGCCTTGGTCACAGGTCCAAAGTGTTGTGTCCACAAGCACAGGGTGGAGGGAACGGAGCTGGCTCATGGGACACATAGCGTGAAGCTCCTGAGCTCTCAGAGCAGGCCCTCGGTTGGTGCTGGGTCCTTGCCACGGGGAAAGAGTCCTGCCGGCTCCTATAAACTGTTCTCTCTTGGTTTGCAGAGGGGGAGACAATTATAGTGATTCTGTCATGGGTCTTGTGAGACTTAAGTTAAAGGATAGGTTTAAAGAAGACCTCATGCTTACCCAGGGCTTGGCGAGGGATTGCTGTCAGGGCCTATGCAGATTCCTCCTCCCAGCACCCACTCACACCCCCAGCTAGTGCCCAGTCCTAACACTGGGATAATCTTCTGTGTCCCCTTCACCCCCAGAAACTAAAATTGTGCCCCTGTGGCCTCCAGGAGGCCCCAGGCCAGGGAGGGCACAAACCCTGAGTGACAGATGACCCCATCCCCATACCCTGTGAAGAGTCCTCTGGATTCCATGGTCAAGGGGTCCTGGAGGGGAAGGTCATGGAACATTCAAGGTCACTGAGTAATTCTCTTTCCATCCCTGGCTCTCAATAATGTCTGCAGAAGGGAGGGAGGGATGCAGGTGTTTGTGTATTTACTGGGGAGTAATAAAGTTTAATCATTTATGCCTATTTTTCCTCTTTGGAATGAATCATAGGACTTTCTTTATGAGTTTAGTTATGGGACAGGAAATACCTCCAAACACACCTTGTACTACGGCAGAGATACCCAATATTACTTTGCACTGCCAGCTGGTGAGCCCGTGGACAACTATAAAGGTAAGTCATTATAAGCATCAGGCCTGTTTGGTTTCTTTACATATGGTATTAATGATTTTCCTGGCTTTTTAAAACTAAAATTATGCATGTAGAACATAAAATTCTTATACATCTAAAATATGTTTATTTCTTTTTACTTTAGGTTAATTGGCTATTTTCTAGTTAATGCACATATCTTAAATTATAACTGAGATTTTATGTAAATTATAAAATACCAAAGAACGGTTGGTATATATATGATACGAATCATCTATTTGAGACCCAGACATGCCTTACTTACTAATGACATGTTGTGTCTAGTGAATTTGGCCTTTAGTGTAGATGAAACCAAATCAAGGTGCCCCTTGAGGTATGGTGTACAGGAATGTGGGGTTCCATTGGTTGTCCTAGGACAAATGAGCCCCACAGCATCCAGTCTTCTCCTCTGACTCTGTCCCTGTGGCCCTGCCTAGATCTAAACCAGCCCCTGGAGATTGCTCACTTGAACATGTTAGAGATCTAGCCACTTAGGAAAGCTTTTGCTACAGAACTCCAGGTCAGTTAAATGAAGTTAAGTTAGAACCCTCCCCGGTGGTGCAGCGGGTTAAAGCATAGCACTAAGAAGCTAAAGCCACTTCAGAATGAGTTCGATCCCCAGCCCCAGCGGTGACACGCATGGTGTGAAGACCTCTCCTGACCCACCCACTACTCCCCTCAGCAATATACTTTGTCAGTCAGCCTGGGTTCTGCTCCCCACTCTGTCTCTGGTGAATTCCCTCACTTCCCCTGCACCTCTGGCCTGTACCCCAGTTCTGTATGTATAAATAAATAAAACTTTTTTTAAAAATGAGGTTAAGTTAGAAGTTCTGGGGTAACAAAAGACACAAAAACATTGATTCAAAAGAATACCTGTACTCCTATGTTTATTGCAGTGCTATTTGTAATAGGTAAAAACTTGGAAACAACCCAATGCCCAAAAGTCCTGTGTATATATATATATATATACACACACACACATACACACACACATATACACATACATACATATACATATATACATATACATATATATAGGAATACTATGCAGTAATCACAAAGATTAACTAGTGCCATTCGCAGCAACATGGATGGAGCTAGAAGAAATTATTCTCAGTGAATTAATTCAGAAAGAAAAAGTATCAGATGATTTCATTGATAAGAAGAATAGAGGGCAACCAAGTAAGGAATAAGGGGGGGGGGGAATAGCAATAAAAACACAACAAAACAAAATATAAATAACAGCAACTATAAATTAGAGACACTTTGCAGGGAAGAGGGAGGGAGAGGGCCCTGAATGAGGGAGGGGAGAGCACAGGGGACTGTGGTGATGGTGCACAGGTGAACTGGTTGTAGATTTTCTGTGGGGACTACACCTGAGAAAAGAAAGCAAACAGTGTTAAAAAAATGAACAATGAATGGGCCCTCCCTGGTGGTGCAGCGGATTAAAGCACAGCACTAAGAAACTTAAGCCACTTCCGCATGAGTTCGATCCCCGCCTGCCCAAGAGGAGACCCACATGGCCTGGCAGACCTCTCCTGACCCGCCCGCTGCTCCCCTCAGC